TTAGTAAGCAGAAGGATTCATCCAAACATAGCCAATATTTGTTGTGTGTTTACCTCTCAATCGGAAGCGTAGTGGATATGCACTCCAAAGCTCTGTATTGTGTAGAAGAGGAGTTTCTAAGACTCAATCCTGTGCATCATCTGCACTTAGCTCTTAACACAGAACGCTGGCAAGAGCCCAGACGCAACCCGCCATGAGTCACGTCTTTAAAAGCTCTGACCGCAGCAGCCAAAAGCAAAAGCTCCCAATATTTGTGATTAAACCAGAATGGACAACAGGCGTGCGAAGCCAAAAAGCCTTTTATTTTTAAAATATTCATCACTCCCAAGCATCTTTAATCCTGTTTTCAGAAGAAACGGGGGCGGAAGGGTGTTTGTGAAGGAAACAACACCATAGTCAAACACTTCATTGGGAATTTGATCAGAAATACTGTTTTACGTATGCATATCCATCTTTTTTTGTTAGCAGTTGTACCCCCATGTTCCCTTTGCACTTGTTGTATCTTGGTATAAAAAGAAAAGGGAACGGTTAAATTTTAATCCCATTTGCATTTATGGATAATTGATTGCATAGCTGCAAACTGAATGATCGCTCCAGCAGTCCATTAAACAGAGAAATAGGATTGACAAGGCTGTACAGATGGGGTTTGTATCCGGCAAAGGTCGATCGTTAACTCTTAAGTCCTTGTTCCCAGATGAATGCGGTGAAACGCAGCTGTGCGATGAAGACTCCGCTGCATGAAGATTAATCCAACCTTGTGGATCTTTCAAATCCGCACCTATGTAAACAATGTGATGTGATTTAGGTGCCTGACAGGGCAGCCTTCAAAAGGTATGCCAAAGCCCTAGAGACAATACTAAAAAACACTTTTGTTAAATAGCGAGAATGCAGACACAGTTGAAGCGTGTAAAAGGACATGCAAAACAAGGAAATTAACAAGAGATTATATGCACTTGAAATCCCGTTTGAAGTAGACCCGTCCTCTCTCAATGCGATTGTAAATGTGCAAAAAGTGGCAATTTGTTCAACACAAAAGAGCCATACGCTCATTTAAATGCTTCTTAGACAACATTTTCACTTCTTTATTTCCAGCTATGTAATTAGGCAAACTGAGCCTTAAGGTCGTTCTGCAGGCCTTTTATGTGGACCCCCAACTAAGCAAATTTGCATAATTGTTTTCTTCATTTAGGGTATACAGTGGCCCCGAAAGGTATTTGAACACGTAAATCCCACTTAAAAACATATGAATGTTGTTGCATTATATGCAAAAAATAGACATCAACAAAGATGCTTTATACATTATAAAGAATATATAATATAAATATAAGTCATTTTGTTATAATTTTAATAAAGTGTGGTTGAATTTGCATTTTTCATTGAATTCACTGTGGCCTTACGCACCTGCCCACAACTATTCAGGTGTTTTCAGGGTTTTTTATATAATGTAAATATTCGATAAATTATTAAAACAAAAATGAAGTATTGTGTGACTTGTGTTGTAACCTGAGACGATTTGTATATTTAATTAGCAGAATCCCAGCCTATGGTCTTCATTACGAACAACGTCTACTTTGAGCTGCCCTCAAACACTAAAGTTGAGAGTTTGGTTTGTGTTGTCGACATGTTGAGAAGATGCTGTTTTTTGCGCTACCAAAGCAAATCCATTTTGCATGCACTTCCAAAGCATGAGGACTCATGCTCAAATTGATACGGTAAAACTGGTGCCATCGTTACTCTTCGTATCACTGTGTATCAAGTGCTGAGGAAACCTCCGTAGTTGAAATTCAGTTTTGGTAATGCCCATTTCCTTTCTGGCATGTGGTGTAAGCGGTCGACCAATCACAACAGACTGGGCCATCTGACCAATCAGAGCAGAGTTGACCAATCACAACAGACTGGGCCATCTGACCAATCAGAGCAGAGTTGACCAATCACAACAGACTGGGCCATCTGACTAATCAGAGCAGAGTAGGCTCTCGGAAAGGAGGGTTTAGAGAGACTGAATCCTTGATCAAAACTGTTTCAGACACAGATGCTCAAGTGTGGCTTTAGTAAACACATACTTTTAAACAGTTTATCTATTTTTAATCTTTTAAACCTTAAATATCTTTATGTGAAATGTTTTCTCGATAAGTGTGCTCATGCTCGAGGGAAGCTGGACCACACGGACACCACATGCCCTTCCACTGGAGCACCATATTCCGTAGGCACTTTATGCCCCCATTTTAATATTTTATGCAAATATGATTTATTTAAAAATTAACTGACAACGCATCCACAATGTCTGTCTTCCCTCACACTAATGCACTGACATTTATTTTAAGTGTACACTTTTTGGTGCCAGTGTACCTAAAAATGCCATAATGTGCTGTATGAAGCAGGATGGGAAACGGAAACAAACGCACAAATGGAGTGCCATTACGGACACACACAGTCCTTTGCCCACTTCCTAAAGTGAATTTCATGAACATATCTCAGTCGCCGTCATTGCGACTGAGAGGGAGGGGCCGTATTTAATCTGACAAGCATTCGTTGTAAATCGATCTGTCTTCTGTTGGGTAATGCAGCACAATCCAATTGTGGGCTGATGGAACATGCACCATGATCTCTGGACAATTCGTCTCTTCTCTCTGTTTGCATGGCGTTAGCGTCCGCGAGTTTAACGCAATCGGTTTAGAGAGTTCACAGATGGTGAATGTGCTGCTAATCAAACACAACAGATTGCGTTTCAGTTCTCTTAGCTATCAAACGATGCTCCTCTATATTTCTTAATCGCTCTGAGGAACTTGTTCTTGTGATGCAATTAAAAAGTGTAATTGACAATACCATTATATCACTCCCTGTCCACATTAGTGGCGTCGCCATTAGAATATTTCGCACCAATCATTACGTTGCAGGTTGCATTTATGATTAGTGTCTTCATCGCCAGCTATTTTCTTTCAGAACGTTCCTTTAATAAGCTAAGAAGCTAAGCATTAACCTGTGCAGTTCGTTGTATGCAAACTTACCTGCTTATCTCACGCATTATTGCTGGGGTCTGCTTTCTTTAAAACAGTCAGGAGCTAATATTACTTAATTAGCACATAATTATATACAATTCAAAGCAGCAGTGAGGCAGAGGTTGGGATGGCGGAAGCCAAACGCGCGGTATCAGCAAAATGGCTGTAATGTAATAAGTGGTCTCCACTTAATGGAGTCAAGCCCTCCATTTAAGAGAATAAAAGCAGTGGTATGTAAGTGCTTTCTCTCTAGAGCCCGGGACTGCATATAAATCAGGTCTACAGAGCGGCCGGCCAACCGATGCCATGTTCAGATGCTGCTTATGAAGATGTGTGCATTTGTGTGTGCTAAACCCTGTCTCTGCCATGTTTTCTGTGCTTTAAATGTCAGTACGGCCGGCTATCCTCAATTTCCCAGCAACAACACACACACACACATACTCAGGGAAGAATGGAAAAGGTTTACAAATCCTCAGCAGGAAATTTTATATAATGTAGAGTGCACTTTAAAAGGTTTTGCTTCACTTGGTAACATCTACCATTAACTTGTTCTATCTATCTATCTATCTATCTATCTATCTATCTATCTATCTATCTATCTATCTATCTATCTATCTATCTATCATATATGATTTCGAATATACCACAAAAGTCAAATGGACAGGTTAAGGTGCATTTCCGTTGTGCAAAACAATTATTTTGTTTTCCACAAATGTTCATTATAGGTGCACTGTCCCTTTAATAAGGTAATGAGTGTACATTTTTACTTCTGCACTGTAGTAGTTTCCATTTCCATTCAGTGTTTCTATTGCAGCATCACTGTCATCTGATAAAAAGCATGTTTGACATGTTACAATACCTCTTGCACAAGTGATAAAAAGGTTCATTTATGAGCCCTGGTTACCCTAATGATGAACTCTAAACGATGTTATCACATTTTGCATTCCAAAGGTACTAATTACAACCAAATTAGACTCAAAGGAGTAATTAGGCTTTCTTTTGTCAAGGTTGTTGGAGGGAAAAATCTGAATCTGAATGTGTTGTTAATTACTGAAACGACCGCACACTCTTTTCACTTTCAGTGTGATCTTTATGCCATATCTAATATATTATTAGCATTCTCCACCTGTCAGAAGCATTTCCTGTTATTTGCGAATACTCGTTGTATTGGCACCGTTGTAGAGAGTGAGCGGGTGGCCGGCTTGCCAATCTCATTCCATTTGCTGTGTGTTAAACTTTTGATTGGCCTGTTGCTGCAAATGGAGAATGTATTTATGGGGTTGATTGCAGAGCTCATGGGCCTCTTACGAGAGAGGGGAACTCATTTGCAGTCCACTGAAAATACATTTCACACACTTTAGATAGGTTTTATCTGTGCACGCTGCACTCGGTTGGACACTGCCACAATTTAAGGCTGCATTTACACTATAAGGCACAGATCCATATCCTATTTTTTCCCTGTCCATTTACATTCTTTCAAGATATAAAAGTGTTTTTACATGAATACGTCACAAAACAGCCAGGATCCAAATGTAATAATATATTTATTATTTATGTGTACTATACTATTTCAATATATATTGAAATAGTAGGCTACAGTACACATAAATAATAAATATAATATTCCATTTATTTACATATATATTTATAACTTTTATTAATGTTATTTTTTTTTAGATTTACAATGATTGACTAACCCACATTATTGTTATCATTGGATAAAAATAGTTTTTTCCTAATTGTATTTATGTATAAATATATTGTTTTTATATTTTATTGTGCGTATATATAGCCTATAGCCTATATGTTTTTTTGTTTTTTTTATCAAATAAATTATTCATGAAATCTATAAGATTGAAACTGAATCCTGATTAAATGAATAGTAATTGTTGCAACACCATATACGAGATACAGCCGGCATCCTTGATCCTAGAGCAGATCTCTCTATGAAACACCGCATTAATTCTAACCATGTTCCTCTTTGTCTTCTCTGTCTCTCAGGCCCCTCAACAGATGGGCACATTGGCGTTCTACAGGTATGAGCAGCCCATCGTGGACTACTGCCAGGCTCACCAGCCCCTGCACATGAACAGGGGATTTGAGCCCCCGCCCCAGGCCCTGGAGGGGCTGGGGGCACGAGAACGCTGCGCCGTCCCGTCCGCCGGCCTCCTTCCTTCCGTGCCTGCAGCCCCTCAGTCAGACATCCGCACCCTCCCGCAGTGAGCCGGAGATGGACTCGTCCCTGTCGCCTGGATGTCCCCGGAGGGCCTACGCTCTACCCTCAACATGAACCCACCACGAGACTGATGTAGAGATATATGGGCCAGTGTGATGGACTACAGACTCTCAGGAGAGGACAGGATCGACTCTGTCTTTGTCGCGAAGTGGGTTAAAACACACTCTGGTTTGTCATTCGCAAGGATCATCATTGTACTGTACGATCGATGTGTTTGGAACAATCTAACAGGATGTTTTTTTTAGGGGGGTGGGCGAGCATTTTATCCTGATGCTTTTTGTGAGCTCTGCCCTCTAAATGTTTCAAAAGCGTCATGCGAAACGTCTCAAGCGAGAAATAAACATCAAGGCCTTTATTGACTCCAGAGCATGCATACTTTGAAAAAGCAAACATTGGTAACTAAATGTTACCCGAAGTAATTAAAAGTAAAACGCCGTCCCTTAAATGGATTCAAGAAACCAGAGCCGCAGCAAGCAAAGGAATTTCTGAGCTAAAAAAATCTCTTTTATCTCTTTCTAGTAAGGCCTTTCAGAAGGACTCCTGCCCCATGAAGTCAGCGATAATTGCTTTATATAAAATTTCCCAAATTTAATTCCTCAAGGTGAGCTGGCGAATTTGAATTGTAAATGATAATATGACCCTCACTTGACGGCTTCTCTATTGTAAATCTTTAAAATGAGTCTTGATGGTTTGGTATTATGATGAAAGACTCCATCACGCCATGCTGATTTTACTCTGAAAACCACTGACAGCTGTGACATCATTTATCAGTGCTGTTTTACACCGACTGTGGAAAATGTCTGACACAATCTGTGAGGTATTCACATTGAGTTTCCTTTCACTTATAGGATGTTAACACCAGGGTCATTCCTTGCCTTGACTTTGTGGTAGTTTAATTTATTTCAATAAAATGGTCTTGAAGACAATCAGGTCAAGATCAGGCACTTATATCATAAGTAAAATAACAACACCAAGACATTTTACATGAGAATGATAGTTTTTAATATCTTTTTTTTTCGTTTGTAAAAAGCATTTTACAAATAACTAACAGAATGGAAAGTCGAGGACAAGGGACAATTAACTAAAACAACGTGTTTTAGGGGACATGAAAATTACAGTAAATATAACACGATTATTATTTTCACCATGGCAAGAAAGTTTACATGACGATGATACTTTTCAAAATTGTCTTTTAAAAGCTTATCAAGCAGGGTGTTGTTTCCCTATAAAACGATGTCACTTCGTCATTAAAGAACTTTTTTTTGTTGTTGTAAAAAGCATTTTACAGATTAACAACTTGTTTTTGGGGACATGAAAATGTCCAGCATAGCAGGAATGACCCACCCACATCTGTTGTTGAAGCCTATTGGTCGCATCCTTTACGTACCCATTAAGAAAGTGGATGTATGCTACAGTGTACTATGTTAGTACCATAAACTGTTAACCATCATCATCTTGCCCATTTGTTCCATGTAACACCGCCTTTGGACATTGTGCCGTATTTCGCAGAGGCCTGGACGATCCATTAAATGACATGGAAATGGATTTTCTTTCTGTTTTGCCACAACTCACATTCCAGCTGGAACTGTATAAATAAAGACCATTGGAGTGACCTAGAGACGCTATGAAGTGGGAGGAAGCTCTTCCCAGACTGGACTACTTGTCTTGTACATATGTAAATTAAAACAAGGATGTCTTTGCTTCTACAGAAACACAATCTTGTTACCTAGAAGAGGAGCCTTATCTTTAATCCAGGAGGAAGTGAACATGCATTCTGAGTGCGCGTGTGCGTGTGTGTGTGTGTGTGCGTGTTAGCGCGAGTGCATGAACTGAAAGTGCGAATGGAAAAAGAAAGAGAAGATGGCTGTGTTTGAATATTAGCCTGCTGTTTGAAAAGAACATTGGTTTCAAAAAATTTGACTTTACTTTGCGATTTTACATAATTGCAACATATGTTCGAAGCATCTGTCAAGTGGCACGGTGCGTCAAACACCTGTCCTCTAATAATGATTACAGTGATTTTCCAACCAAATGTTTTTATACCAGTATTTATGTGAGAAAAAAAAGAAGATAACTAGTATATACTTTTACATTTTACATTATCCCGACCCCTTCAATGCAATACTTGCGTCTGTAGAGCGGAAGGACCCGCTTCAGTTCTGATGTCAAGATTGTGATGATTATTTTAAGCATTTGACTGTGTTTTCCTGTATCTTAGCAATGAGGTCGATATATTTCATTTTGTCTATTCAACAGTTATAAAGCGTAAATTTGTTTTTGTTTTTTTATATGCCTGTCCGTCTCTTATTTTCTCTATTTTGAGGACGTTGATCTAGTATATGCTCTTACACACGTAGAGTATAAAGACATGGTGGCAGTTTGTGTTTTTGCACTGTTGAACATCTGTTGTTCACTGTTGTCACTGTTGAACATCGCCGTCTGACTTCATGAGCACCATGTTTTTGAGAAGCCAGAAAGTTCGACCAGATGTAATTATGCAAATATCCCATTGAAAGCCCATTATTTTGTTACTGAGGCAGTGCACAATAATATTTGCTTAAAACGTTTGTGCAATTGTAGTGTGTTTCAAGTAGTGTTTCAAACTAGTTTAAAAGGCACCAATCCTGAACATTAAGGAAGCAGAAGTACCCTCCGGTAAAGGTAAAAGCCCAAACGGCATGTCGGTGATGAATGGTTATGTATTCCTCCACATTCAATACGACGTTTCATCTATTACACTTCATTATAGCGTGTGCATCCATCAAAACCTCTGGCTTTGTGCTGTCAGTTTGATCACCTTCAATCATAGACGCTTGTACTCGCTCAATTTGACATTTAGGCTCTCACCCTGAGACTTCTGAGAATTCTCGAAGTCTTCGCCCATTAAGTTTTATTCCTCGGGGAAAGAGTCGTCAATGGTGTAAAGCAGCCGTGAGCGGAGAGGACAGGAGAGAAAAGAGCCCGTCTAGTAAAGATGCTCAAGCCCTTTACAGCAGCATGCTAACAAATATCTTATGTACTATATATAGGGAGTAACAGCCCGTCCCTGTTGACTATTAGATTTCAATTTGCCACTGCTTTATTCACAGGACCTAGTTTTGAAGAAGAGCGGACAGAAGCTCCTGGCGCAGCAGAAATTGCTTCATCATCATGTTTCTCAGCCGTTTGGACAAAGGTACATTGTTAGAATCGAACAAAGGGTTTCTTTCCTCTACACTCTCAAAAATAAAGGTTATTTGATGGAGCCATGAAAAACTTTTAACATCAATGGAACCTTTTCATTCATGGAAAAGAGGTTCTTCAGATTTTATTAAATGTCCTTCGCACTAAGAAAAGACAGGTTCATTTGAGAGCTGTTTGTTGAAAGGTTCTTTTGGGATCCAAATATGGTTCTTCTGGCATCACTGTGAAAACCCCTATTTGAAACCTGTATTTTTAAGAGTGTACCAACACTTTGTGGCGGGGACAGTTTGAGATCACACAATTCAAGGGGTGTTTGTCATCGTATTTCCAGAATGACCTGGTTATCCTCCTCCATCGCATGAGAAGACAGAGACTAATGCAAGAGCCTGTATCTCTGCGAAAACATGACCGCCGTGCCACAGTGAATCCTTTTTAATGTGAGAGTGATGTATGAGGAGAAACGTTCAGCTTAAGACCTTGGTGAAACTCAGATAAAACTTCGACTAGGAGCCCGACTGATGAAACTCATGTACAGAAGTGATGGGACTGCTGCTTTGAAACTCATATTCGTCAAACTACAAGTGACTGGTAAAAGACTTTAGGCAACAGTCAAGCTTAAAAAAAAGAGAAAAAAAGATAATTTAGTTCAATACTAAATGTAGCAAGTTATGGTTACTGAGATAAATGTATCTTGCTACACTGTAAAAAGTAAAAGGACATTATCCAGTAATTTTACAGAAATGTCTGTTAACCCTTAATGAGTTCAAACAACAGGTAAAACACCTGTAAAAAAATCAATACGGAAAATTCCTTCATATTTATGAAGTGCATAGTGCCCTATTTTTACAGACTTTGTTTTATAGTGTAGACAGTGTTGTGCCTGAACGCGTTCAATGAACGATAGTTCATGAACTCGTTCATATTTTGGGCGAACGTGAACTGAACTGAATTACTGCCTGATGAACGTAAAGGCCTCATTATGCTTCTGCGTCAACTCCACGGTGTAGCTACGCCGTCACTCCTACAGCGTCGTGGCCGTTTTATGGTTCTGCGTCAGGTTGCGTTGCATCGCGGTGCATTTCAACGCTAGGGGGGGTGTGTGCTTCGCGAATCTCTTTGCTAGTTTGTTTTGGTTCCGTGCTCCGGTTCCGCTTTCGTTTCCATTACCCTTCAAATTGAAATTGCGAATTGAAAATACGCACAATGGAACCACGTCCATTTCGCAAAAACTTACGCTCGCATGAGGAGGTTTTCAGGCAATTCGAAAAAGGAATATTTTGCAAAACTGCAATGGAAACAGGGTTTTTTTGTGCATTTACAGTCACCTGACTTAGAAGACGCGGTGTGTTTGGGGTCCGTGTCCGCAAATAATAATAATAATTATCATCATTATTATAACATTTATTAGGCTACATATGTAGAAGACGCTTTTATCCAAAAAAGGAACAAATCAATTCATCACATCTCATTCAAAATACAGGTTGGACAATAATAATACGGGGCTAAGATTATCACAAATAAACACAAGATTTTGACGCATATCCAAGTGTTTGTGCGGAGCGCGCACTGAATGGCAGGGAAGACTTGCATTTTCCTATCAACATTGGAAACAACTTAAAATACTCTATTTCTGGTCATACAGAAAATAATAATACATTATTCGCAACTACTTTTATTTGCGTAAACTCACAATAACAAGAAAACGCTGTGGTTTTGTAAAATAAAATAAAACAATCAGGCGCGCTTTCATGGTCTCCGTGAACTGAAGCGCGAAAACGGAAACAAAATACAGCCTATGTAGGCTAAAGCTTGAAATGCTGTCTGTGGTATATGGGCTGTGGCAATAATAATAATAAAAAAAAGAAGAAGCTCGCAGCAACATATGGAAAAAAAGAACTATGAACTTCATTTTTTGAAGTATGAACTATGAACTGAACTAGTTCATTTTAAAATTTGTGAACTGAACTTTGAACTAGTTCATGTAGAAAATGAACTTTCCCAACACTGAGTGTAGCCTATAAGATATAAATATATAATATCATATATTTAATAATGTATCTATATAATTTCTGAAGGATCATGTGACACTGAAGACTGGAGTAATGATGCTGAA